GTCTGCCTTCTTTCTTTGTGTTTGCTCGAGCGTGGGCTGAGAATAATAGCTGAAAAGCGGGCTGAGGATCTCAATTTTTATGGCGTGTCTAGCCGCCTCCCGGCATGAAGGGGTCAACAGTTAACAAAAAACTTTGCTAATGTTAAGCACTATTTCATGGCAGTGCTAAGCCTTTGTCGCTACATTAAGCAAATTTTTCCTCCGTGAAATATGCAGTCCCAACGTTAGCGCAAAATTGTGTACTAAGCGGTGCCTTGAAATTGGGCCCAGGTTTGGAGGTGTTCAAGTGAATACTGTAATTGTCCGAAAAAATTGAAAAAATTTGTCTAAATAGAAAAGTTGCTCATGTGAGCTTCAAGTGAACCAGTTCAGTATTCCAGCAGGTCTTGCCCAGTAAAAGGCTATTTGGGAACAGCTGCACGTAGGGCCGAGTCAATTTGAACAATTCACTTTTCGAAGACTCGACTTTCAATTTGATCAAATATCTAAATATGCAGTTTACCGACCGGCAGAGTGTTGATGTACAAACTACAGTATATACAAAATCAATTGCAATATCATGCACAATTGTACATTATAATAACTATAACACCTTTTCATGTCTAGGAGTATCTCCAGCCACAATTTAACAAGATTTAAGAGATGAAAAATATTTCTTGCCCTGTTGAAAATTTCTATCCCTGGTAAATTTCTCAATGAATAATTTACTTTCTGAATTGTTCGTCGATTTCTGTCTCTTTTCATTTTAATCTGTTTGGAACTAGCCCCCATAGTGCAATTTTTGTCATTTAAAACAAGAGAAAAGTTCTCCTTTCCTTTTCATGAATTTGGCATTCGTATATTCAAATTCGGAAAATAATATTCAAATATTCGCTAACTGATCAAATACTCAGATATTAGGCACAGCCCTAGCTACATGTGCGCGCGTTAGTCTGTCCTGTCAGCGCAGCCATACTCTGACTCACACATGCACTTTGTTCCCAAAAGACCTTGGCTATATAATACCCAACTGGCTCATTGGTTTTGTAGCAAAGTTGCCTGGGGTGCTATGTCCATTTTGAAATTGCCAAATAAATAACATGAGCAAAAAGAAGCCAGAGCAATGTTATGCATGAGAGTGTACCTCCATAGTCACATATCTGCTTCTCAGAATTACATGTGTAGATCAATTAAGTGACGGCTGAGGAATACGACAGATCCACGTTGGATGTGCTTGTGCATGTGCTGCATGTATTAATCTCTGAAAGCAATAATAGTAGTGCACCCTTAGGGCAAACTGCAACATCCTGACTTCTCACTGTGATAAGAGGACTAAACACCAGTGTGACTGTGTTTTACAAATTTCTTACTTTGACTGACAGGAAAGAGAGACGAACCTTTGAAAAGTACCAGAAGGCAGCAAGAGCTCTGCCAGACAAGAAGGACCGGGAAGAAATTGAGCTCCTCAAGAAGCAGGTAGAGTTTACATCTTGAAGAAACTATCTTTGCCTTGAACACACTAGCATAGTGATTTTGGTGAATTCTGGTATTTGGTAACGTGTCTCAATTAGTCTTTTTGTTTTAAAGTGGACAGACCTTTTTAATGAAGATTGTCTCTACAGAAACAGTTTCAGTAGACTTTTCTAGCATTATAAAAATTAATCCTGAAATTACTCTCTTTTTCATATTTATGACAGAAGCAGACATATCGATAGCCATATCATATGCTGAAATTTGAACCCAAACCATAGAGCTATATTAAAGTACTCGAGTGCTAACTTTTCATTCTTCACATGGAAAAATTTGATGAATTTTAAATCCATGTATGAGCTTGTAGAACATTCAAAATCAGACGGAATGAATATCGAATTATGTACTCTAAAATGCAACGTCCATGGGGTACCGATAAAATCTGAGTAAAAAAGCTACAGCAAAATTAATCTGCAGTGCATACGTGCATGCGTTTGCGTAGAACAAAACAAAATGCTCATTTAGTGATTGTGCATTTAGGTTTTTGCATATCAATTCTGCTGACGCATCGTTTTAGACTACAGACACAGATATGCAAATAGCCGTACAAGAGCCGTACAAAAAATTTCAAGTATTGCTTAGGTTTGTGCACAAGCATGGATGTGCTCAGCAGGCATCACATTGTACACGAGCCAGCACTCTAGCTTTTTGCCCCATGCTCAACATGTACACGTGCCTCTCATTTAGGCAAATTTAAGTAACCATATGTAATCCAGTAAGACTGGAGCACCTTTGATAGAGGGTGATATTACTGGATGCAAAAACTTAATAATTTGATTTTGACTCTCAAGCAGACATTTGTTACCCTGATTCACGAGCCATGACTCGTGTAAACACTTTTCATCTGATAAATACCACCCATGTGATATTTTCTGGACCAATCAGAATGCACAAAATGTCTTTGTATTTGTGAAGGAAAAGTTAAGTTTTGGGCCTTCAATTGTTTTCTTAGTTGTCAGACCTGCAGGAGGAGATGAGTCGGCGAGAGACAAGGTGGACGGCATCATCCACTCGCCTGAGGGACCGCATCGACATCATGGAGAAGGAAAATACAGAGCTGAGGGAGGAGGTCAAGCTGTTGGAACAGCAGCGCCTA